CGGGGCAGGAGCCCGGTGACCTTTCGGGTCCCCAGCAGCCACACTCTGTTTACGGCTCCGCGACCTCACCAGCCCCAGATCCGCATCTGAGCCCAAGGAGGGAAAGCTCCGCGTTCTGCTTTGTGCCTCGGGCTCCGAGCCTGAGCGCCCTTTGTGATCCGGGATGAGGTGACAATGCCGGTGATCATCGCCATCGTTACAGATGATCCCTCGGCGGGGTTAAAAGCCTGAAACACAGAACCGTGCCCTGTGTGGAGCTTTGCAGAGCTCCTGAGACCCCGAGCAGGAGCAGCCCGTGATGTCCCCCAGCCTTCACGGCTCAGCTCAGGTGAATTTTGGGGAGCGAGCAGCCCACCAGCCTGGCCACAAGGCACGAAAACCGGGCTCGCCTTCCCTTCTCCGTAAGTACAATTGAGCTGCCGTTAATTAGGTGAAAAACCCTGACGAGTTCCCCTTTTCGGGGCCCGGGGGTCCCCCAGGACGCGCAGCCCGGGGCACCTGCAGGGTTCCCGCACATGAATCAGGGCCCGGCGGGTCACAAGACCGAGAGGAGATGTCGCCTGTCAGCTGACAGCACCCAGGGGGACAGCGGGACAGGTCCCGGTCCCACGGGGGCCAGCGGGGTTTTGGGGATGGGGTGGGGCTGCTCTGAGCCCCGAGGGAGGGTCGGGGTGGGAGCTGGGGGCTCTCGGTTCCTCGCCAGCCTTGGGGAACCGGGCAGGGTGGGACACGGTTAAATAATGTCACCGTTTGTCACAACCCCGGCAGGGATGCTGGGAGGTGAGGGGGGATGGGGCAGCGCTGGTGTGGGGCACGGGATTGAGGAGGGACGGCAGCATTTCAGGGAATTCTGGAATGGTTCGGCTGGGAAGGGACCTTAAAGCCCATGCAGTGCCCCATGGGCAGGGACACCTCCCGCTGCCCCAGGGTGCTCCAAGCCTGGCCTTGGGCACTGTCACAGATCCAGGGGCAGCCACAGCTGCTCTGGGAATTCCAAGCCAGCCCCTCACCACCCTCACAGCCAGGAATTCCTTCCCAATCTCCCATCCATCCCTGCCCTCTGGCAGTGGGAGCCATTCCCTGGCTCCTGTCCCTCCATCCCTTGTCCAAAGTCTCTCCTGGAGCCCCTTCAGGCTCTGGAAAGGGCTCTGAGCTCTCCCTGGAGCCTTCTCCTGTCCAGGTGAGCACCCCCAGCTCTCCCAGCCTGGCTGCAGAGCAGAGGGGCTCCAGCCCTGGAGTAGCTCCTTGTTCCCCTCTCCAGCTCCAGCTCCTCCCCGCGCTGCCCGGACCTAGATCCAGCACGGCCGGTGGGGCAGGGGGAACATCCATGGGCATGGAATGCCGGCAGCGATAATCCAGGTCCCAGAAACACCTGGATCAGGACGGGGTTCACACGGGGCAGGTGTGTGGGATGATGAGAAAAAGAGTGAAACCTCTGGGCTGCAGACTCCATGCAGCCTGGGCTGTAATTTAAAACCATCCGGAGCCATCCCAGGTGAGTTTCTCTCTGTTTCCCTCCCTTGGGTGAAGAGCTGTGCTCGGGATGCTCTGACCCACTAAGCTGAGCTGTAACTAAGCCAGTCCAACCCCCATGCGGCCGTTCCCGTGCCAGCCTGAGTCTGCCTCGGTTTATTTTGGCTCCGGGCCGTTCCCAATCAAACCGCTGTCAGTGCCTGACTGTCCCGCTCTCCCCAGCCGGGTTTAGCGGCAGGTCCCCGTGAGTCAGGAGCTTTAAACCCAGCCTAAACCCCACTTTGGGGTGCACCCACAGCCCCAGCAGCCCCGAGCCAGCTGCATTCCCAGCGGGCAGCAGGCGCCACTCCCGTGTCACTGTCACCCTCGGGGGGCAGAAACCCACCCGGGCCGGTGGGGCTGGCACCGGTGGGGACGCGGAGTTTTCCAGAGCAGGGCGAGGAGCAGGGATTCCCCACGGGACCCTCACCCGTGGGTGCCCTTAAGGCTGAGCCAACCTCCGCTACAAACCGGGACGAACCGGGTGGTGGTGTTGGTACCGGACACAATTAAGGGTTGAGGAGGGCTGGTTTAATTTTGGGGGGGTCCCTGCTCTGATCTGTGCCAGACACGCAGCGGGAGCCCCGCAGCATCAACGACAGGGTTCAGGAGGGGTGGATTCATTTTGGGGGGGGTCCCTGCTCTGATCTGCGAGGCCGCAGGGTTGAGGAGGGGTGGTTTCATTTTGGGGGGGGTCACTGCTCTGATCTGCGCCAGACACTCAGCGGGATCCCCGCAGCATCAACGACAGGGTTCAGGAGGGGTGGTTTAATTTTGGGGGGTCCCTGCTCTGATCTACGGGGCCGGACACGCAGCATCAACAGCAGGGTTCAGGAGGGTTGGTTTCATTTTGGGGGGTCCCTGCTCTGATCTGCCGGGTCACAGGGTTGAAGAGGGGTGGTTTAATTTTGGGGGGTCCCTGCTCTGATCTACGGGGCCGGACACGCAGCGGGGCCCCCTCAGCATCCCCGGCTCTGCGGCTGCGGCCGCGCTCCCACCGTGGGAATGCGGTGTCGGGGGAGGACCCCCGGGGGCCGGGGGTGTCAGCGGGGACCCCTCGTCACCCCCGCGGCCCGGGGCGGTGCTGCCCGGGGGGGCGCGGGCCGTGCATCCCCCTCCGCGCCCCGCGCCCGCCCCGCGCCTCGGCAGCCCCGGGGGCGCCGGAACCGGCGGCCAAAGAAGGGAGCGGAGGCGGGGCCGGATCCAGGCCTTGTATGGCGCTTCCCCTCGGCCGCCCGCCCGCCGCCGCCCCGCGCTCCCCCCGCTCCCCTCCCGCCGCCGCCGCCGCCGCCGCCGCCGCGCTCCCCCCGGGCCGCGCCGGGCCACGGGCGGGGGATGCGCTGGGCAGGGGGCGGCGGGAGGGGGAGAGACCGAGAGAGAGGGGGGAAAACAAGGAGAGCGTCCTGCCAAGGATGGGGGTGAAGAGGGTGCGAGGGAGGGGGGCTCTGTGCAGGATTTGGGGGTCTAATAAGGGTGGGGGGCTCTGCGCAGCATGGGGGTCCTGTGCAAGGTGTGGGGGCTCTACAAAGGGTGGGGGCTTTGCACAGGAGGGGGGTTCTGCACAGGAACAGTGCAGGGGGAATTTCGGGTGGAAAGGGGGATCGGTGGATGGAGGGTCGAGGTTGCAGTGGCGGGGGCTGCAGTGAACGAGCGGCCCTGAAGTGGATGTGGGGGGCCCTGAAGTGGATGTGGGGCGCTCTGAAGTGAGTGGTGACCCTGAAGCTGGTGGAACACACACAGGCCCCTCCTCTCCCCGCGGTCACAAACAGCCCAAGCCGGGGCTCGCTGCCCCCCGCCCACCCCCGGAAGGCTCCCCCCGCCCCTCCAGAGCCCCCCGTGCCCCGCGGCCCCGCGGCCATTGCCCGGTCCCCTCCCGTAGCCCGGATTTCACTCCCATGGCAAAGCCGGCCCTGCAGGAATTGGGTAAGTGGAGCTATTGCAACACAGCATTTTTCCATACATTTGCTATATAACTCGGAGGGTTTTAAAGATAGCATCAGTTGGCACACTTAGCACGAAACCACCTAATTACTGACGCCTTGGAAGTGCCAAACTTTTAAAGGGGGGAGGTGAGGTTAAAATCACAGGCGACCAACAAGTGTTACCTGTTTTTAAAGTATTCCGAGCTCTGTTCTCCACGGGGCTCGGGACATGGGGAGGGGGCGGCTCGGGGCAGAGCCATCCCCTCTGTCACCTCTGTCACCACTGCCACCACACCGAGGGGCTGGAAGCTTCTGCAGCCCCCCCACTCTGACCCTCTCCTTCCCACCAAACTCCACTGCCTGGCGCTGTGGCTTTCCCTGCGCAGCTCCCATCCCGTTCCTGTGCCAGCCCGGGCTGCGGGATGGGGTTTGCGGCCGGTCCTGGCCTCCACCGGAGGAAAAACCCCTCCCGGTATCCCGGTAAGAGGCTGGCTGTGAGCAGCGCCGGGGGCGGCCGCAGGGTCAGGCGGGGCGGGGGCGGGCTGGCCCCGCGCCCCCGCCGCTTCCCGGGGGGACGATCCGGGCTGGAAGCGCTGGAGCCGCCGCCGCCCGCCCTGCGAACGGGGACGGCACCGCTCGGCGCGGGGGATGCAGCGCAGGCGGGGAGACCCCTGCCCGGTGCGCTGTGCCCGGTGCCCCGTGCGGGGTGCCTGTGCAGGGTGCCCGGTGCGGGATGCCTGAAGCACGCCCGGTACCCCGGACTCGGTGCCAAGTGCAGGATGCCCGGTGCCCTGCACAGGGTTCCTTCCTGCTGCCCACTGCCAGGTGCAGGCAGCCTGGTACCCCGTGCAGGATGCCCGGTGCTCGCTGCAGGCAGCCCGGTACCCCTCATCCGGTGCGGGATGCCCAGGTCCCGGTCCTCAGTTCCCCATGCAGGACGCCCGGTACCGGGTACCCCTTCCCCGATGCCAGCGTGCCTGCTGCCCGATCCCCTTTGCCCGGCATCCGGCGCCCCGTCCCCCTTGCCCCGTTGCCGCTTCCCCCAGGCCGATATCCGGTGCCCGGCTCCCCTTGGCCGGTGCAGGGTGCCCGGTTGCCCCGGTCCGCTCCCCTGTCCCCCGTCCCCGCGCTCGCCGGCCCCGCTTCCTGCTCTCCCCAACGTTCCATTGTGCGGAGCTTCCATTGTGACGTCTCGGCCTCGGCTCGGCTTTGTCTGTCCATATATGGGCAGCTACGTCACGGAGCGCTCCCGCATAAAGGCCCCGCGGAGTCCCCGGCGGAGCAGTCGGGCGGCAGAGAAGGAACCGGCGAGCGGAGCGGGGCCGAGCGCGGGGGAAGCGGGGCCGGGAGCCGGCGAGAGAGAGCGAGAGATTGAGAGAGAGCGAGAGAGGAGGGGTTAAATCCTCCCCCCCCACCACCACCACCCCCCCAGCTTCTACAACCACATCTGCCAGCCAGATCGCCCCCTCCCCCTCGAGGAAACACCACCAAGGGACCCACGGAGGACCGCGCCCCCCCCGCGCCCCCTCCTCCGCGGCCACCCCCAGCCCCCCCCCCGCCTCCTCCTCCTCCTCCCCCCCGCCGCCCCCGCCCCAACTTTTCTTCTTGCATGATTTCCCTCGCACGGATTTGCCACTCGGATGTTGTTTCCTCGGGAGCCGAGCTCGGAGCCACGTTGAACCAGCCTTTTCCTCCAGTGCTATGACAGGCAAACTACTGGAGAAGCTGCCGGGGACCATGAACACTTTGATGAACCAATTGCCTGACAATCTGTACCCAGAGGAGATCCCCAACTCTTTGAATATCTTCTCCAGCACCAGCGACTCGGTGGCTCACTACAACCAGATGGCTGCAGGTAAAGCGGGAGGGGAGGAAAATGGGGAAAAGGCAGGAGCAGGGGGGGAGCCGGTGGGGCGAGGAGGAGGATGCTGTGGGTAGGGTGTCATGGAGCCTCGGAGGGAAGGGAAGAGCTGGGGCTGGGGAGCGTCCCCCCCCCCGCACCCACCCACCCCTTTCCCTTTCCTCGCCGTGTCTCCGCGCGATCGCTGCAGGGCTCCGCCGAGCGCTGCCGCCGCCGAGCCGCCGCCGCAGGTACGGGGACGGCGGCCGCGCTCCGTGGGGAGGAGAGCGCGGGTGGAGAAGCCGGAGGGCCGAGGGGACCAGGGGAAGGCCGGGCACCCCCGAGTCGCGCAGGGGCCGCCCGCCCGCGCCGGGATCCGCGCGGGTGCGGAGGCGCCGCGGACGCGCGTGGCCGTGGCAGCCGCCCCCCCACAGCCCGCAGCGGCGGCGGCGGCAGCGTGGGCTCCCCGGGACGCGGCGCCGACTTTCCCGGAGCGCGGGGCTGGGGGAAACGGGGCGGGGGGGGGCACGGGAGAGAGGGAGGGTCTGATCTGGGGGGCACAGGTGAGCGCCGAGGGCGGCAGGGGCGGGTGCTCCCCGCGTGTCCCCGCTCCCACGCGGAGCCCCGCCAGGCTAAACCCCCCCTCCCCATCCCCATCCCCATCCCCGTGTTTCTCCTCGCCGGGGCTCGGCGCAGGGAAGGCGGCGAGTTGGTAACGGCGTCGGCGGCCGCGGCCCCGGCTCCGCGGAGTGCCCAGCGCTGCCGGGGCTGGACGGGGAGGAAGCCTACCTGTAGCCGCAGGTACCTCCTTCCTCCGGCGGCGCGGCGGCGGGGTGTCCCCCCCACACACCCACCCACCCACCCACCAGGGGCAGCTCCTCGCGGGGGCGGCGCGGGCGGCCCCGCATCGTCGGGACCCCCGGCAGGCAGCGCCGCATATGCGGGGTGGAAGCGGCGAGGGGAAGGGGGGAGCGAGGCGAGGGGGAACTGGCGCATCCCCGCTGCCCGGAGCATCCCCCGGAGCATCTGCCGGTGCATCCCCGGGCCCTCCCGGCTTACCGTGCCCCGCTTCTCTCGCACTTTGCAGATAATGTTATGGACATTGGCTTAGCGAACGAAAAGGCCGGTCAGGAATTGTCCTCCTACTCGGGCACTTTTCAACCCGCCCCGGGCAACAAGACTGTCACCTACCTGGGGAAATTCGCTTTTGACTCGCCCTCCAACTGGTGCCAGGACAACATCATCAGCCTGATGAGCGCCGGCATCCTGGGGGTGCCGCCGTCCTCGGGCGCGCTCACCAGCACGCAGAGCTCGGCGGGCAGCATGGGGCCGCCGCAGGGCGAGGTGGACCAGATGTACCCCGCGCTGCCGCCCTACTCCTCCTGCAGTGACCTCTACCCAGAGCCCGTCTCCTTCCACGACCCCCAGAGCAACCCCGGCCTCACCTACTCCCCCCAGGATTACCAGGCGGCCAAGCCCGCCTTGGACAGCAACCTCTTCCCCATGATCCCAGACTATAACCTCTACCACCACCCCAACGACATGGGCACCATCACGGAGCACAAACCCTTCCAGAGCTTGGACCCCATCCGCGTCAACCCGCCCCCCATCACCCCGCTGGAGACCATCAAGGCCTTCAAGGACAAGCAGATCCACCCGGGTTTCGGGGGGCTGCCGCAGCCGCCGCTCACGCTCAAGCCCATCCGACCCCGCAAGTATCCCAACCGGCCCAGCAAGACGCCGCTGCACGAGCGGCCCCACGCCTGCCCGGCCGAGGGCTGCGACCGCCGCTTCTCCCGCTCCGACGAGCTCACCCGTCACCTCCGCATACACACGGGCCACAAGCCCTTCCAGTGCCGCATCTGCATGCGGAGCTTCAGCCGCAGCGACCACCTCACCACCCACATCCGCACCCACACCGGCGAGAAGCCCTTCGCCTGCGAGTTCTGCGGCCGCAAGTTCGCCCGCTCCGACGAGCGCAAGCGGCACGCCAAGATCCACCTCAAGCAGAAGGAGAAGAAGGCCGAGAAGGGCTCGGGGGTGCAGCCCCCCGCCGCGCCCCCCGCCGCCACCGCCACCACCTCGCCGCCCGTCGCCCTCGCCCCCGCCGTCACCACGTGCGCTTGAGGGATTGTGGGGGGCGGCGCGGTGGCACCCCTTCTCCTCCCCTTGCCCTCGGCACCGCTCCGGGGGGAACCCCACGGTGTTCAGGATACCGGGCTTGCGCTGCGACGGGTCCGCTCTGCCCGCACCCGGATTGACCGGGTCCAGGCTGCCCGCACCTGGATCCCGCCTGCACTTGGATCGATGGGACCCGCACCGCCCGCGCCCGGATTGCCCGGACTCTGCGCTGCCCGCGCTGGGATTGCTCGCAGCACCCGGATCCCGGCTGCCTGCTCCTGCACCTTCCACGTCCCGGCTGCTTCCACCCGCCCTGCCCGGGCCCGGGCCGCCCGCCCTGCCCGGATCCCGGCCGCCTGCTCCCGCACCTCCCGCATCCCGCCCGGGGCCGGGCCGTCCGCACCCTCCTTGCCCGGCTCTCCCGGCTCCTGGATTACTCGCACCGCCCGGATCCCGGCTGGATTGCCCCATCCCGGCCCTCACCCGGCACCTCCCGGCTCGGGGCTGCCCCGGCGGCCGATCCCGGGGATGCTCCCGGCTCACCCGGATCCCGGGGCTCGGTCCGGGTGGCTGCTCCAGGATCTGCCCCCACCCCGGTCCCGTCCTGCCCGGCTGCCCCGGGGCTGCGCGCTCCAGGATCCGTGAGGGATGGATGGATGGATAAAGGATGGATGGACGGATGGATGGATGGATGGATGGATGGATGGATGGATGGATGGCGGATGGATGGATGACGGATGGATGGATGGATGGATGGATGGATGGCGGATGGATGGATGACGGATGGATGGATGGATGGATGGATGGATGGATGGATGGATGGATGGAGCTGATCTGGCTCCTCTCCTCGCTGGGCCTGGCGCTCCTGCTGCCCTCCCCAGCCCCGTGTCCCCCCCGTGTCCCCAAGCACCGGCTCCCCGTGCTGGAGGTAAGAGGGCTCAGCCCCCCGAGCCAGGCTGGGGGGGCGGGGGGCAGCTCTGCGGGTCCCCCCAACTCTGGGGAGCGATGTCCCGGCAGCAGCTTTTGGGTTCGTTTTCTTATTTTTGGTTTCTTTTCCTTTTTATTTTTTTTTCTTTGTTTTCAGCAGAAGGGAAATTCTTTACAGAAATACAGGGAAAAAAAGAAAAAGCACCCCAGTATTTTGCTGAATACTTTTTATAATGTGAGATATTTTTATTTTATTTTATTTGGTCACTTTAAAACAACCACCCAACTATGGAGGAGAAAAATCAATTAGTCCTCTATTTTATTATTATTTTTTTTTTCTTTCTCCTTCTGGTATGTGCATGTCATTGCATGACTGCTCTGATTTTTTTCTTCTTTTGTTTTAATAAAACTGTGCTCAGACATTTAAGCTAAACTAAGCAAAAATAATAATGACTTAAAAAGAAAAAAAAATCTTTGTTGCCAAAAGGTCGTGCTATCCAGGTTTGATGTCTGCATGTGAAAAAAAAAACACAAAAAAACACATTAAAAACGTACAAAAAATAAAGAGAAGAGGAAGAATGCAGTCTAATTTATGTGAACTGAAAGGAACAAAAAAAAAAAAAACAAACCACAATCAGGTTTAACCACACAAACCTAAGGGAATGATATTTTTTGAAAGACTTTTGTATAAAGTTGAGTACTTAGAGAAAAAAAAATCATACCAGATGTAATATATTTTGTGGATGTTTTTATTTCTTGGATTTATAGTACCTTATACTAAGGTTAAAAAAAAATTATGCTTGATATTGTGAAAAGGTGATAATTTTCACACACATTTCATTTGCTCATTTGTCATGTTGTAATGCAAATATGATAGTTAATGCATACAGCATTTTTAAGGGAAAAAATCAGAAATATTGAACTGATGTATTGTTGTACCATTTGCACTGTGAGCAAATGCTAATGCAGTAAATATATTGTGTTTGCTGACAATCAAAATCTGTAGTAAATATCTTTATTTGCTTAAATTGATCTATGTTGGCTTGGAAAGTTAAAAAACCAAGGTTTTAATGTGTAAGGGGAGTGTAAAAAGGGCTGAAATGTGCAGGGAAGTGGGTGCTGTTTCTCTTTACGGGCGACTTTGAAACCTGTCTGTACAGAATTTTTTTTCCTAGTGCTGTATTTCCTTAAATATTATTTTTTATATGATTTTTTTAAAAAAAGTAACCCACTTTTTTTTTCTCAGTCCCCCTCCCTCTGCTTCGGTTCTATCCACAGGACGGCACAGCGAGACCCGGCTGGGTGACCCCGACGGCGACCGGCTCCGTCCTCGCGTCCCGTCCTTCCCGGGATGGGGGCACCAGGCTGGGATGGGGGCACCAGGCTGGGATGGGGGAACCCCACCGGGATGGGGGAACCCAATTGGGACTGGAGGAACCCCACCAGGATTGGGGGAACCCAACCAGGATGGTGGAACCCCACCAGGATGGGAGCACCTAACTGGGATGGAGGCACCCCACCAGGATTGGGGGAACCCCACCAGGATGGGGGGAACCCCACCAGGATGGGGGAACCCAATCTTGATGTGGGCACCCAACCAGGATGGTGGAACCCGACTGGGAGGGGAGGAACCCAACCAGGATGGTGGAACCCCACCAGGATGGGAGCACCTAACTGGGATGGAGGCACCCCACTGGGATGGAGGCACCCCACCAGGATTGGGGGGAACCCCACCAGGATGGGGAGAACCCAACCAGGATGGGGGCACCCAACCAGGATGGGGGAACCCAATCTTGATGTGGGCACCCAACCAGGATGGTGGAATTCCACCAGGATTGGGGGAACCCTTCCAGGATGAAGGCACCCCTCCAGGATGGAGGAACCTAACTGGGATGGGGGGAACCCAACCAGGATAGGGGAACCCCACTGGGATGGGGGGAACCCAACCAGGACGGGGGCACCCGACCAGGATAGGGGCACCCCACTGAGATGGGGGAACCCCATTGGGATGGGGGCACCCAACCTGGATGGGGGGCACCAGACTGAGATGGGGGCACCCCACCAGGATAGGGGCACCCCACTGGGATGGGGGAACCTGACCTGGATGGGGGAACCCGACCAGGATGGGGGAACCCAACCAGGATGGGGGTCACCTGATTGGTATGGGTGCACCCAACTAGGATTGGGGCACTCGATCATCATGGGGGCACCCAACCAGCATGTGGGGCACCCACGTGGCATGAGGACACCCAAGCAGCATGGGGGCACCCACAGTCTCCCCAAAAATCCGCCGTGTCCTTGCTTTGCCCTTGACCCCCCATCCTGTTCCTCCCCGCTCGTGCCGCCGCCGCCCTGACCCCGTCACCATTTTGCCGGGATAACTTGGGGCCACCAAAGAGGATCCAAAGAGGATCGCGCCGCTTCAGCCGGTAATGCCCCCGCGCCCTCCGCCGCCAAATCGCCCCGGGGACAGCGCCTGCAGGGGATTTTTTTTCCCAGCCTGGATCGCTGGGGATAAAAATAAATCGCTGGGTTTCAGCGCCGGCGCTCGCACGGGCACGAGGAACGAGTGGGAGAAGGAGTTTGGAGGCGCTCGCATGTTTGGAGTGGTGGAGCGCGGTGGTTGGATCCTTCCCCGGGTTCGGGATGGAGCCAGAATTTCGGAGTTGGGATCGTGCTGGAGGATCCCAGACGGGGTCTGGGGGTCCCTCGGTGCTTTGCGTGACCGGTTGAGTGTCCCACAAGTGTCCCCTTCCCAGGGCCTTGCTGGCAGTGCTGGTGGCTGGCAGTGGCACTGTGGTCTTTCCTGGTGTTCCCAGGGTATGAAAGTGTTGGCAATTTTTGTTGGCAGATTTCCTGATTTTGATTTGGATCTGCAGCCGGGCCTGGAAAAGCTGTTGTTCTGGCCATTCCAGGGGGTTTGCTGAGCTCCCTGGCTTGGAAATCTTTAATTTTAGGGACAATCCAGGCTCTGACGGTGACTCAGGGCACAGCTGGCCCAGACAGGGATGGCATCTCGTGCTGTTGAGGACTTGGCGTTGGTGCTGCACCAGATCTCTGTGTTGATTCTTGGAGTGTTTGGTGGCCACGTGAGGCTGGACTGGGATGAGCTGGGATTGTCCTCCCCTGTGCGCTCTGGAGGTCCTGCAGCCAGCAGGGGCTGCGGGACGGTTTGGGAGCCATCGGTGTCCCCGTGGTGTCCCCACGTGTGGCTCACGTGGGCAGGAACCAGAGCTGCCACACACAGGGAGAGCCACCAGGGCCCCCAGCATCACCTGAGGGTGCTGTGCTGGTGCTGGTGCTGCTGGAGGTGCCCATCTACCCATCTCTGCCGGTGGTCATGCTGGAAAACGCTGGAGATGCTGGGAACGGGCACAGCAGAGGAGCTGCCCCGGTGAGGAGCCACCCAACGTTCCACCAACGCTTTGGGCTCCTTCTGAGGGCGAGGAGCAGGGCAGGAGCCCAGCAGGCCCTGGGGACCCTCTGTGGCAGCCAGGCCTGGCATGGAGCAGGACGGTGAGGAGCACCCTTGGGTGGCAAAGCGCGGGGAGTGCGTGCAGCACCTTGCACGAAAAATGTTGGTTGCTACGGAAACACGGCACTTTCCATCCCCGTTCTGGGCTATCTGTGTTCTGGGGAGGAGGGAAGGGCTTCCAGTCACGTACCAGCTCCACACAACTTGCTGCCTTCGCCTCCCAACGGGAGCAGCGGGGTCCTGAGGAGGCCACCAACACCTCGCTCCTCCCTGCTGAGGGTCCTCGGGGCTCTGCAGGATGTGGTTGGATCCAAGAGCTCTCCACGGGATGGGATTTGCTGCTCAGGAGGAGCACCAAGAGCTGGGACCCCTTGCCTGGGTCGGGAGTGAAGAGGACCCACAGCCAGAAGCTCCTGGTTTGCAGCTGGAGTACAGATGTTGGTGGGATCCTTCCCTGATCTTCTCACCTCTGGCTCAGCAGGAGACATCACCCACAGAAGGCCTGGATGGTTCTGGATCATCTCTGACCTCATCTCCCGCCCCGTGGGACCGTGTGGATCCATCCCCATGCCCTCTGGAGGAAGGGGCCACACTCATCCTCTGGACAGGGGGACAAACAGCAGAGCCTCCACAGAAGGTGCTCCCCAAGTCCTGTGGCCACCAGGATGTCAGACCCAGGCTCGTCCCAGCTCTGTCTTGTCCATGCCCGGTGACAGTGAGGGGCACCACGGTGGGGACAGGCCCAGGAGCAACAACCTGGCCCAGCTGGCAGCAAAACCTTCCTGGTCCCAGCCTTCCTCTTCCTCTTCCTCATCACTTGGATGGGATGTGGGACCCTCATGGCTGCCTCCCCTCGGCGTTTGCTCTGACACCCACCAGCACCCCAAAACCCATCCCTTCCCCTCAGCCCCCCTCCCAACATCCCCTCTGCACCCACCCTGGCACAAAACGGGACAATGGTGGCGGTTGGCACCCTGGCATGGTGCCCCCCCCGCCCGGATCTGCCCCCTCCCTGCTCCTTTTGGGCTAATCCCTGTCCTCAGCGGTGTCGGTAACACCTTCCCAGTTTAGCATCATCCTCCCTGCCTGTAATTACCGTGCTGTTTACCTCCACCTGCTAATTGATAAAGCCAGCCCTGGCGCCGGGCCCGGGGCCGCCGCCCCGTGCGCTGGCATGTGGCTGCTGTCACCAGCCCGGTGGCACCAGGGCTGTCCCCACCCCAGGATGGCACCCCGACCTTGGGGGGCTCTGCTGGATCCCGGGCTCACGGATGGATGGGGCTGATGGGTCAGTGCTGAGGGCACGGTGGGTTTGTGGTCACCAAAAGGACTTTGCTGTCCCTCCCGCCCCTGTCCAGCCTCCTCAAGATGGGTTTGGGGGCGTTTCTGCCCAAAATTGGGGGCTCCTGCTCTTCCAGTTGGATTTCCCTGACTGGGGCAGTCCTGCTCCTCCCCCTGCTCTCACCCACCCCAGGGTGTCCCTGGGCACCCCCTGCCCACACCCATCCCCTTCCCTGTGCCCTGGCCCACCCCAGGGAATGCTCCTGGGCACCCCCTGCCCATCCCCTTCCCTGTGCCCTGGCCCACCCCAGGGAATGCTCCTGGGCACGCTCTCCGTGCCCTCATCCAGCTCAGGATGCTGCCAGGCAGTTCCTGACCCTCGCCCACCCCAGGAATGCTCCCGGGCATCGCCTCCCTGTGCCACTGCCCACTCCGGGCTGTTCCTGGGCATTCCACGCTCCTGCCCTCACCCACTTCTGGGATGTTCCTGGGCATTCCCTCCCTGTGCCCTTGCCCAGCCTGGACTGGATCCAGGCAATTCCTTCTTGCCCACCATTAAATTCCTTCTCCTTGCCCACCTTGGGGTTGATCCATTAAATTCTTTCTCCTCGCCCAGCCTGGGCTGGATCCAGGCAATTCCTTCTCCTTGCTCACCCTGGGGCTGATCCATGAAATTCCTTCTTTTCCACCCTAGGGGTGATCCACAAAATTCCTTCTCTTTGCCCACCCTGGGGTTGATCCAGGCAATTCCATCTTGCCCACCCCAGGGATGATCCAGGCAATTCCTTCTCCTTGCCTATCCTGGGACTGATCCATTAAATTCCTTCTCCTTGCCCATCCCGGACTGATCCTGGCCATTCCTTCTTGCCCATCTTGGGGCTGATCCATGAAATTCCTTCTCCTTGCCCACCCCAGGGCTGATCCAGGCAATTCTTCCTCCTTGCCCACCCTGGAGATGCTCCACAGCTCCCAGCCGTTTATCTCCACCCCCTCCCGCCCCATTTCCAGTCCTTTTCACCGAAACCGGGCGAATTTCGGGATTTTCTCCCCGCGCGCCTTCCCCGTGACGTCACTCTCCCCCCGCCATGTGACGTCACGCCCCCGCCGCGTGGCGTCACCGCAGCGCGCGGCCCCGGCGGGTGAGCGCCGGCGGAAGGGGCGGGGCTAAAACCGGCGGCACTTCCGGGAGCGGCGCGGGGCGGAGGGGGAACATGAGCTGGTGAGTGCGGGGGGAATCCGGGGCACCGGAACGGGACCGGCGGGGAACCGGGACCGGGAGCGGGGCAGGGCGGGGGAACGGGAGCGCCGGGAGCGGGGCCGGGAGGAGGAACCGGGACCAGCGAGACCGGGAGCGGGGCAGGGCAGGGAGAACGGGAGCGCCGGGACTGGGACCAGCGGAACCGGGACTGGGTCAGCGGAACCTGGGACCCCGGCACGGCGGGGGAACGGGAGCGCCGGGACTGGGACCAGCAGGGCCGGGAGCGGGGCAGGGCAGGGCAGGGGGAACGGGAGCGCCGCACCGGGACTGGGTCAGGACGGAGGAACCGGGAGCGGTGCTGGGGGAACGGGAGCGCCGGGACCGGGTCAGGGCGGAGGAACCGGGACCTGGAGCGGTGCAGGGCGGGGGAACGGGAGTACCGGCACCAGGTCAGGGCGGAGGAACCGGGACGTGGAGTGGGGCAGGGCGGGGGAACGGGAGCGCCGGGACTGGGTCCGGGCGGAGGATCCGGAACAGGCACCGGGGCAGGGCGGAGGAACCGGAACCGCTGGCACCGGCCCGCCCGGTCCCGGCTCCTCACCTTGGGCGCTGCGGGTGAGGAGGAGCCGGGAACGGGCCCGGAGCGGCCCCGGTGCTGAGCGGCCTTGGCCCGGTGGGAGCCCCGGTGCAGGCCCTGGAGCGGAGCCGGTGCTGCCGGGGATGTCCCGGTGCTGGCCCTGGAGCGGAGCCGGTGCGTTCACAGTGCTGGCCCGGGAGTGGATGCTGGTGCTGGCCAGGCTTGGCCCCACTGCTGGGCCTGGAGGGGCCCCGGTGCTGGTCAGGTTTGTCCCGGTGCTGGCCAGGTTTGTCCCGGTCCTTGCCAGGTTTATCCTGGTGCAGGCCCTGGTGGGATCCCCAGTGCTGAGCAGGTTTGTCCCAGTCCTGGCCCTGGTGAGGTCCCTGATCCTGTCCCTGATGGGATTCCCAGTGCTGGCCAGGTTTGTCCCAGTCCTGGCCAGGTTTATTCTGGTGCTGGCCCTGGTAGGATCCCCAGTCCTGGCCAAGTTTATCCCAGTCCTGGCCAGGTTTGTCCTGGTGCTGGCCCTGGTGGGGTCCCCGGTCCTGGCCCTGGTGGGGTCCCTAGTGCTGACCAGGTTTGTCCCAGTCCTGGCCAAGTTTGTCCTGGTGCTGACCCTGGTGAGGTCCCCATTGCTGACCAGGTTTCCCCCAGTCCTAGCCAAGTTTGTCCCAGTCCTGGCCAGGTTTGTCCTGGTGGGCTCCCAGTCCTGGCCAGGCTTGTCCCTGCAGTCACCCCCACAGGTGTGCACCCCTCTCACCCCTCACCTGTGCCCCCACAGCTCCCCTGACCCTTCCCACCGTTCCCCCTCCTGCCTGTCCCTGCCCAGGAGCTGCTGCAGGTCCCCAATGTCCCCATTGCCTCTTCAACTCCATGAAAGTAAAAGTTTTTCCTTTAAAACAAGAGGAAAGAAGAATTCCTGTGTGTTTGAATCAAGCTGATGAGGGCTCAGTATGGGCACACTGGTGCTTATTTAATTGAATTGTATTAGAACTCAATAATATTAGAAATTAATAATATTAGAAATCAATCTGGACTGCTGTGTGTGATTTCTCATGCTGGGTAGTTCTGGAGATCCAGGGCTGTTGTGGGAGGCAAGGATGGGATGGATCAAGAGCTCAAAGGGCTTTTCCTAGCCTGGCAGGTTGAGTTCCACGGTGACAATGGAAAATTTTTTGGGTTGGGAGCTGTGGAAGTTGTGGTTTGGAAATGTACTGCAAGAATGTAATGAGGCACACACAGGTACTGATTAAAACCTGGCATTTGGGCTAAAAATACACATTTATCCACTGGAATGGCTCTGGACTCGTCTCAGAACAGCAACAATTATGGACAGCGTTGGCTAACGAGGTTTTGGAGCCAACTTTTCCCAGGGAATTTGAGGGAAGGGACTTTGGAAGGGACCCTCTGGTCCAGGAGGGGCTTCAGAGCCAAAATGTGAGGAATAAATAATCCCTTCATGCGGGGATGAAGGAATAATTTGGGTGCAGGGTACTCACACTTCCACTTCCCTGTGTCCATCCATCCCCAGGGACTGTCCCTTGTCACCACAGCACACGTGGCTTTTCCTGGGATCCCTTTCTTAGGGAAATTGGATGTTTTCATCTCTTTCTGGAGAGGAATCCAAGGTTGTTGCCTGCTGGTTTTCAGCTTCCTTTTTCTACCTCTGTTGAGGTCAGGATTGAAGGTACTTGAGATGATAATTTAGACTCAGATGTTTATTATTTATTATCAGTTACAGTCTCGCAGCAGTGAGTTTTGTAGCCTTTCATTAACAAGGCACAAAATGGTTAACTATCTCTTGGTACAAGGTCTTTTAATGCTAAACTGTCCAATTAAGAAATTACACCTAAATTATTTCCACTTTTAACCCAATAACTGATCACTTGAAGTCTGCACTGCGGACTTTTCTGTTCAGTTACGAAATACCACCCAAAACCATGAAGAAGAAGGTAAAGAAGAACAACCTGCCTCAGCCTGAAATCATCCATCTTGCTCCATATTTATTCCTATGTTCTAAAACCCCGAACTCTAAATTTTCCACCCTGTGATATCACACACTTCTAACTCCACACCTGTAATTCCAGTGCTGTCAATCCATTTTGGAAGCCTTTTCCACAGCCTCAGATCAAATGCAGCACTCTCCTGGGAGTCAGAGTCTGTCTGCACAGAAAGTCTGTAATTCTCAGCATCCAGAACTCCAACAGTTGCCTGGTGAGCAGAGGTTTGGAATATAGTTATATTGCAAATAGTTATATAGTTATATTCCAGATAGTTATATGGTTGTATTCCAATATAGTTATATCCTAAATAATTATATAGTTATATTCCACTGTAGTTATATTCCAACTAGTTATATAGTTATATTCCAATATAGTGATATTCCAGATAGATCTATAGTTACATTCCAGATAATTATATAGTTATATTCCAATATAGCTATATTCCAGATAGTTATATAGTTATATTCCAATATAGTTATATCCTAAATAATTATATAGTTATATTCCACTGTAGTTATATTCCAGATAGTTATATAGTTGTATTCCAAATAGTTATTTTCCAGATAGTTAACCATTTTGTGCCTTGTTAATGAAAGACCACAAAAGCCTTCTCCACAGCCTCAGGTCAAACGCAGTGCTCTCCTGGGAGTCACAGTCTGTGTGTACAGAAAGTCTGAAATTCTCAGCATCCAGAACTCCAAGAGTTGCCCGGCAAGCGGGGGGAACTCTGGGGGAATTCTGAATCTCTTTCTTCTCTGGCTGCGTCACCCTCTGGAGCGTGGCTGACGCACGAGGGGCTCGGAGCCCGCGGGGTTCCAGTGTGGCTGCACAATCGCCCTCAGTCCAGCCTTGGGTGTGTGCCCTCATCCCTCCCTGTGTGTTTGTGCCCTCAGTCCAGCTCTGTGTGTGTGCCCTCATTCTGACTCTGTGTGTGTGTGTGTGTGCCCTCAGTCCAGCCTTGGGTGTGTGCCCTCAGTGCAGCCCTGTGTGTGTGTGTGTGTGCCCTCAGTCCAGCCCTGTGTGTGTGTGTGTGTGCCCTCAGTCCCTCCCCGTGTGTGTGTGCCCTCAGTCCAGCCCTGTGTGTGTGTGCCCTCAGTCCTGCCCTGTGTGTGTGTGTGTGTGTGCCCTCATTCCAGCCCTGTGTGTGTGTGTGTGCCCTCATCCCTCCCTGTGTGTTTGTGCCCTCAGTCCAGCTCTGTGTGTGTGCCCTCATTCTGACTCTGTGTGTGTGTGTGTGTGTGCCCTCAGTCCCTCCCCGTGTGTGTGCCATCAGTGCAGCCCTGTGTGTGTGTGTGTGCCCTCAGTCCAGCCCTGTGTGTGTGTGTGTGTGCCCTCAGTCCCTCCCCGTGTGTGTGTGCCCTCAGTCCTGCCCTGTGTGTGTGTGCCCTCAGTCCTGCCCTGTGTGTGTGTGTGTGCGCCCTCAGTCCAGCCCTGAGTGTGTGTGCCCTCAGTCCTGCCCTGTGTGTGTGTGTGTGTGCCCTCAGTCCCTCCCCGTGTGTGTGCCCTCAGTCCTGCCCTGTGTGTGTGTGCCCTCATTCCAGCCCTGTGTGTGTGCGTGCCCTCAGTCCAGCGCTGTGTGTGTGTGGGCCCTCAGTCCGGCCCTGAGTGTGTGTGCCCTCAGTCCTGCCTTGTGTGTGTGTGTGTGTGCCCTCAGTCCCTCCCCGTGTGTGTGCCCTCAGTCCTGCCCTGTGTGTGTGTGTGTGTGTGCCCTCAGTCCCTCCCTGTGTGTGTGCGTGCCCTCAGTCCAGTGCTGTGTGTGTGTGTGTGTGCCCTCAGTCCAGCCCTGTGTGTGTGTGTGTGCTCTCAGTCCGGCGCTGTGTGTGTGCCCTCAGTCCAGCTCTGTGTGTGTGTGCCCTCAGTCCATCCCTGTGTGTGTGTGTGCCCTCAGTGCAGCCCTGTGTATGTGTGTGTGCCCTCAGTGCAGCCTTGGGTGTGTGTGTGCCCTCAATCCAGCCCTGTGTGTGTGTGTGTGTGTGTGTGTGTGTGTGCGCCCTCAGTCCAGCCCTGAGTGTGTGTGCCCTCAGTCCCACTGCTCCCTCCCAGGGCTGCTCTGTCCCGGCTGCTCTGTCCTGGCTGCCCCTTCCTGGGTCTGCCCTCATTCCGGCTGCCCCTTCCCAGGGCTCCGTCCCGGCCTCAATCGGGCCATTCACGGCTGCAGGGCCCGGCGTGGTGTCCATGACGTCCGTGGCAGCGCTGACACACGTGGGGTCGTGCCCCGCTGCTGAAATGTCACAGTTCCGGCCCTGGCATCGCTCCGGGGAGGGAGAGCTTTGTTCCAGCCCTGGCTGCTGTGGGAAGTGTTGGATCATGCATACATACATTATGTGAACTTTCTGTCAAGCTTTAAAAATGCTCTACAAGTTCATTTCCTTCAGGGAAGAAGGTACTTTGCTCAGCTTCCATGTGCGTCTCTCTCTGGCGTTGGGCACCATTAGTCCTGG